CTCAACGTTGCCACAATACTAAGCCTCTTTCTCCCTTTTGTTCTCCCCTCCTATAATTAAATAAAATACATTTATGTGTTGGAAAAGAATAAGAATAGGATGTTATTCAGTGAACGTTTCATGTTTGTTTTTAAAAACCTTTGAGGTGAATTTATATTTTATTTAATGGGAATATTTTATTATATGTGAGATCTTTTTTCTTTGCTTTTAAAAAAAAATTCTAGCTTGTGGGTACTGTCAGGTAAAGCCTAGAGGTGTTGGGAGTGAGTCAGCATAGTCCCTGAGCTCCCAGTAGAAATTTCACTCCTGCTTTTTACAGAAAGTGCTCATCTCCTGGGTACTGACAGATTCTCCTAAAATTCTTTTTGACAGCTTACGACTGGGTATGCAAGAGGACTTAGAGGAAATGAGACGTGAAGAAGAAGAAATGAAACGTCGAAAGGCCAAGAAGCTCAAGAGGCATTAGTTGCTGCTTTTATTTATTTTTGTGAGATTCCTGGAAATACTGCTGTGAGGATTTCCTGCCTTTAGACTAAAGACGCTCCCTTACTGGTGTAGATTTATACTTGGGTACTCAAGGAGAAGGAATGCATATTGTCATTTGCAGGCTGTCATTTGAGCATAAAGTACTTTTAAATACTTTCCAGGGTAAAATCTATAACACAGATGATAAAATGCCCACTATGTGCTCTTATGAAGTTAACTGTTCGCAGATGCCAGCCTTGATCCTGATAAGCTATGCACTCTAATGTGGGGTCACTCTGCAGTCCTCCAACTTTTATTGTTCCTTTGCTACTTTAAAAGGAAAAAGAAAAAGATTGCCTCTGAACTTCTCTAATTCTTCTGCTGATATGTGAGTAGGGCCCTCTCCAGCTCCCAAACTTACTGTCTTTATAAAGAAACTGGCCTTTCTATGAATGTTGCCAGCAATAATGTGGCCTGTCTTAATCTATATGTTTGGATTCAGAACTTGAAAATGTAGAGTAGGCTTTATAATTATCATATGGATGTCATCCCTGTGATTCTGAAGTACAAAGTAGAATAAATTCTATTGTATTCTGTACTACTCAATGGATTGGATGCTGAGCATTCTTATTAATTTAGGTGATTGGACAACTAACAGAAATTTTTCCAGGTTAAAATACAAGAATATTCTCTTCCCAGTTTTCCTTTCAGATTTATTGTTATGTTGACTTTCATGTAATATACAAGGTCACTGTGCTGATTGATTTTTTACCTTACAAAATTCATTTTTATATTGAAGAAAAAATTATTTTATTCAAACATTAGATTAGAAAGAGTAATAGTTTAAAAAATAAGGAAGTGACATGTGAGGCTTCCCACCTCCCTACTTATAAAAATACTTCGGAATCCCAAGGTGCCCCGGTACCTTTTGATGTTAATAACTTTGCATTTTTAGCTTAAAATTCTTAGCAAATATTAATGGCAAAAACCAAAAACTAAATTCATCTGTATCAAGAGTACCAACTTCTCCTTTTGCCCATATTGCACTTTTATTTCAAACTATGCACTGTGAAGAAATTTTTTACCCCAGGTAGAAAAGCGGATGTTCCCTGTTCCTGCTGTGTTACAGGGCTGTGGAACTTTCTTCACTTTCACCCTTTTAAAGTCATATCTATTGACTTGCTATCACTTAAGCCTCAAGTCCAAGCAATTCCAATCAGGCTGACCTAGGATCTGGCTGGAAGGAGGCCACATCTCAAGGATCAGCAACAGAAGATGAGACGTGATAATGCTAGAGAGCATTTGTCCTTGACTGTAAATACTGAGGTTGGAGGCAGTTGAAATTAAGATGATAGGGCAATTCTATAATTCTGGCTCTCTTAAGCCACTGGACAGTAGGGAACAGGAATAGTAGTAGGGGTTGTCCTACAAAGAATCCTTACTCTTTAACAGGTCCAAATGTGTTTTATGTATTCCTTTTTTCCATAAAGTGTATTTATTACAGATTTTATCATTGATAGTCTCCCTTAATGGGACCATATGACCCTGTCCTTTAACACTGACTTACTTTGAATTGACTTTCAAATTTTGAAAGTGTGAGGATTTGATTTTAAATTCCGTAGAAGTTATCTTCATTGCTAGGAGTGACACCCTTTCTAACTCTCCACAACTGTCACACAAGTAGCAGAAGAGCCTGTTGACTTCCTCTTACCCATCTCAGTTACCATCAATGAAATCAATTAAGGGTAGTGTGATATTCCATTTAATAAATAGGTCTAGAACAGTATTTCTTTTGCCATTATTTATATGTTTCCCCTTTCAAAAGTATTTTTGGGGGTGATTTTTTTTCTTTCAGTGTCAGATTATGAAATCTAATTACAATCAAATTCTTGTTATAGCTGAAAGGTTTCCAGTGGCATAAACTTTATGATAATGGTGCAGTTTGTACAGAAAGGTACCACTGTGCTAGATTAAATCTCCAGAACTTAGTAGGAAGAGTCAGGTTGTAAACCTTGTATGTCTATTACTTCTGATGCTAATTTGTATAAATATAATAAAACTGTACTGTGACTTTCATTTTTTTAAAAAAGGAAAGTTATGAGTGAATCTTTTAACAGTCTTGGCCTTGTTGTCAAATCCTGTCTTCCATTCTGTTCTGCACTTCCTGACCATTCTTAGAAAAAGCTCACAAGCCTTTGAAGAAACTGGAATTGGCTGTTATTTGATCAAGGTTTACAAATTAAGTGCTTAATTCTTCATGTATCATCTACTGTTTTGACTTTCAGATTTTCTTAACATTTGAAGATGTGCCTTTTCTTGGGTAATGTTAATCACGAATGTAGTAATGTTATTTCACGATTGTAATAATGTTACATGATCATGGGTGTGGCATTCTCTAACTCAATTGATGTGAACAGAAAGTAGTTTTCATAAAACTCATGGCTCTGATTGCACAGTCCCACTTGCTTTCGATGTTACATCAAAGCAAGGGGCACTTTTCTTTTAAAGGCTACTTTCAGAACTTGTCTTTGTATTTTCTCTAAACTATAAATGCATTATGTCCATTTGGAGGCCAGGGTACCACATGTCACAGGGAGCCTTACATGTGTGCCGAGAGAAGGTTCAAAGACTGTTAACAAAAAAGAAAGTCTAAGGGAATGCAAAATTTCATTTTCTAATGGTAATCCCCAAGATTTTCTCCAAAAAATAAATTGTTGTTTTGCATTTTGTAACTTAAAAGCAGCTATTAGTACATTTCTGAGATATAGCAGGAGACCAAAACATTTTTGGAAAGAGAATAAATATATGAAGAGAGACTGGTTGTTTTATTTTCAATGTGCTGAATATATTAGACTACTATTTATTTTGTGAATGGATGTTATGAAATAAATATCCAGGTGTTTAGTGTATGATAAGATGGGATATATAGGTTTTTTTGGTATTACTAAATCCATCATGTCTTTTACATAATGGACAAATCAAGTTAAAAAAAAAAAAACCTTTTACATAGCTTAGCCTGTTTTCTGGTGCTGTTGAACTACAAGAGAAAATACTTTTGCATATATACAGGTGAAAGTTTTTTTCAATTTATGTATACAAGACATTGTAGGCATTAAAGATATTTTATTGATATTTTTACTGGTTTGCATTTATTGGTCAAAACTTTGAACTGTTCCTTATCTCAGTACCCTGAACATTTTCCAATTAGAAATTTCAGTAGACTTGTCAGACTTAAGATAGTTTGTCTCCTGCACTCATTCCTGCGCAGTCTCCCTTACACATTCATATCTGCTCAGCCCCTCCTACCATTGATATCTCTCCTCTTCCCCCACCAGCTTACACAACTGTTCTCTGACAGCCAAGTTAAGATTGTAAGTGGTTAGAGCAATAAAATCTAGCTTTGTGGCTTGAGTTTTTGGAGGTATACTCAAATTGGAGGGAAGAAGCAGAACTGGGTATATGGTTCTTCTTGTCAAAATGAGCAGGTTTGGATCCCTTAAAATAAAGAATTTGGAATGGCTGAAAAGATGAGTTCTGGGAGGCAAGTGGGCAGAGAATGTAGCAACTTTACGTCATTGGAATGTGTTAAGTTTAGGTCATGTAAGATATGTCAGTACCCTAGATTTAGAAATTAGAGTTTTGTTTATGAATCTTAAATTCATTTTTTCATTACGTTAAAAATAAAAAGGGTACTATATTCAATGCAAGGAGCCACTTACTGTTTAGCTAACATACCAGATAAAATCAACAACATGTTTTCAACATAGCCAAAAGATCTACTTGGCCAAGAAGGGCACACTGACAGTTTCAGCTTATCGCCAGGCAGCCACTTTGTCCTCCCCCACCCCCTCACCTCCAGCTTCTCTACATCATATTGAGAGTTAACCAGTTAGCTTTTGTTTCTACTTTCGTTGCCTTTAAAAGAATCATCAGGTAACTTATTGGCTTTTCTGGTGAGAGATTTAGGCAGTAAGGTCTTGGATATCTCAGACTTCCTCAATGGACTCTAGCTCACAAAGGTGTACAAAGAAGATCAGGATCTGATCTTGACTCTGCAACCCAAAGCTATGTGTTGGCAAGATAATTAAGCCTCCCAACTGCCCTTTTGTCATTTCGACAAATGGAGCTAATACCCAGCTTCAGGTTATTAATGATTAAAATACTTGAGTATCTAGCCCCAATATTAAAATGAAGCCCTTTGCCTTATTTGGGGGAAGCTTTGAGCTCTTAGTAATAGCTATGAAAAGGCCACAGAGAAATACCCTGAAAGAACCAGCTCAAAGTTGCTGCCAGGAAAAAAGGTATTAACTTGGAAAATAGGGAACTCTAGAGTCTCTGTACTAAGGACACAGAATAGGGGACAGTTTGCACAAGGGATCTTAATGCCAGTCGTAGAGACTATAGAACAAGTGACTGAATCATCTCCTGTCTACCCTGAGTACCTCCTCACCTCCATCCCCCTGCTCTGTGAGCTAACACAATACCAAGTCTTCATCTTAAAAAGTGCAGTGATTTTTTACGTAAAATGACAAAAATCTGGTGCAGTGACTTTATGCGAAACCAACAACAGGAACTGTACAGCTTGGTCAGGGTGAGCTTCAGAGCTGCATCATTTCACCAGGATCGTCCTCGCTTATTTCCACTGGGGTCTGGGGGTGAGAAAAGTGTGTCAGTGAGTCCAGTGGTTGCTAAGATGTAGGTAGGCCTGAGGCAACTGCTCTTGCCAAGGCGCGGCTGTGTCCAGTGTTTTCCCACATAATGCTCCTGATCCCAGCTGCCTGGGGACTTAGGAGAAGTATCAGCCACCAGGACCCTTTCAAACATGACCATTACTTGAAGAGTAGTTCAGATTGCCAACGTGGGCTGATTTGGGAAATGATACTAAAGGCTGAGTCAGATGGGAGACCCAGATGGAGTTTCTGGCTCCTAGCTTCATCCTGCCCCAGCCTTGGCCATTCGGAGAGTGAACCAGGGGATGGAAGTTCTCTCTGTCTCTGTCTCTGTCTCTAACTCTGCCTGTCAAGAGTAAAAGAAATCTTCAAATAAGTAAAAGGTAAAGCTTTGACTCTGGACCAGAAATAGCCTTTCCTCTCTTTCCAAATGGAGAAACTTTATTAAAAAGAATAAAGACTTGTAAGAAACTACAAAAGATCACGTAAAAGCAGGTAGCAACTCTTCTAGTAGAGGGTGAATAATACCCATGATAGAAGCAGGAAAGCTACAACATATTTTTAAATAAAGTTACTGGAGTTGGGAACTTTGATGCTTAGTTTGGTTATCTAGGGCAATCTGTTTCAGAGTGGGACTAGAGGGCAAAGTTGAAGATCCACTTACCCCTCCTGGAGGATACCTATATCCCTTCCACATTGTCCCTGCAATGAGAAGCATCCATAAGACGACAATCATGCTGCAGCTTCTTGTTCACTTGGTGCAGGCAGGGGGAAAGGGTGGTTCTGGAAGATGTGCTCTTTCCCTGGTGTCCTGGGAACTAGGCTGTCTTCATTAGAGACCAGAGAGTGGATGGCCCAGCATGGCAGCTTCTAGCTGTGAGTTCTGAACTAAAGTGGCTCTCCGTGGCCACTGAAGGGGGCAGGGCTCAACACTAATTATGACATCAGCCCTTGTAACCTTGGGGACCCAGTCAGAGTGGGCAGCTATGGGATGGTTTGGCAGATGCTAGGTGTGTTAGGGCTAAAGAAACCTGTATCAGAAGGGCCTTGTTCTCTGTGACTTTGTGGTTAGGATCTAGGGGGCATCACACTTTTCTTAATTCATTGCCTGCCAAAATGTTTTAGTTTTATACAATCATGCAAAACACCCTGATTAACTTGGAGAATTAACTGGTTAGGTATGCTATGAGCAGTTAACTATAATATTTTAATTAGTATAATTTGTGACTCAGCTAAACAAGTGCCTGGGGCAGGCATCTAGCACAGGGGCCAAGTTTTGCCACTTGGGATGCCCACTAACCATACTGGGTGTCTGAGTTTGAGTCGTAGCTCCACTCATTGGAGCTTGCTTCTAGTGTGAATCTGTGAGAGGCAACAGGTATTGGCTCAAGTGCTTGGGTCACTGTCACCCACAAGGGAGACCTAGCTTGAATTCCAGGCTCCTGGCATCAGCCTGGCCTATCTCTAGGTGTTGCAGGCATTTGGGGAGTGAACCAGCAGATGAAACCAATCTCTCTCTCTTTCTTTCTCTCTCTCTGTGTGTGTATCTCCCCTTTCAAATAAAAATGAAAATAAAAAAATACACAAGTCCCAGTTCTTCCATCTGCATCACTACTCTACTCTCACCAAAATTTGCCTATTTTGAGCCAATGCTCTCACAGAAATCCTGGGGCAGAAAGGAAAAAAAAAAAAAAAAGACCAGCCACCATCACCATGTCCTGCTCTTGGCATGCCTGGTTTGACACCCCTACCTTCTGGATTAGCTTCTCCAAAAAACTTCTGCTCCTGTAATTAGTATATTAGTAGGATTTTGAGAATTAGTTTTTTTTTCTGACAGTAGAAACAGCTCAGAAACAACAAAACAAAAACAGAGCTGAATGAAATGGGGTGAGATGCAAGAAACCCAGGTGATGACTTTCTGGAAGGCCCTTAACACTTCCCTGTGGTCAGGCTGGTCTAGTGAAACAAAAGAGGCTTTATGTCCAGAGATCCATGTTTGGATCCCACCTTCCCCAATGAGCTGGTTTGTGTGGCTTTGGGTAAATACTTGGGGTCATTGTTACCAGTAAATCTTTGGTGACTGGTTTATTATTTTGCTGAATTGCTAGGTTAGTATTTTACTAAATGCTTTCAAGTTTGCATTAAGTGCTTTACACAAATTCCCAAATGTAATGCTCACAAAGATAGTAGGATGCTCAGGTATCTCCCGCTGTTTAGAACAGGGGTGGAGAACATCCAGCCTGTGGGCCATATGAGGCATGTGAAAGCATTTGGTCTGGCTCCGTCAAGCCAACCTCAAGACTCAAAAGGTTCCCCACCACTGATTTAGAAGAAACAACTGACTTCCAAAAAGTTCATTACACTTTCCCAAGGTCACATAGTAAGTTGCAAAGATAGGACTTGAGTTCATGTTAACTCCAGCTTCAGGATCTGCCTAAAGAGGTGTTGAAAATGCTGGTCAAATATATTATAGTGCTTGTGAGGAGAAAATAAGGTAATGTATAGGGAGTGTTAACAGAATACCTATGAGACTAGGTTACCAACGGGTCTAAGAACGTTGGCCTGCTGTCTCAGCATGCTCCTCAAGCCTCAAATCATTTCCCCTTCCACAGACTGTATTATGTCTTGCAGAGGACTAAAAGTTCTCCACTGAGATTTCAGGGCGTTACCAAGTTCCCTGGAAAGGGGGGAATCCAGCCCAGCAGGCTTGACCGCCCACTCACAGAAGCAGATCTTCATCCACAGCCCGACTCCTCGCTCGTGCCTTGCTCGCCTGAACAGACCGCTTCTCTTTCCACTTGAGGGTTGGAGGCTGAGGCAGAAAGAAAATGAAAGGCAGAGAGGGCCCCATGCCCCAGCCCTGAGGGTCGCCAGCTCTGCGTGATGACTGAAAGGGCTGCTGAGGGGTCCCACTAATCCCCGCCATTGTCGTCCTGCCACCAACCACTGATGCGCTCGCCCTGAAACCCCGTCGGGTGCTGTCTCCCGCAGACCCTTACATATGTCATCATGCCTTGAAATAACTGAAGTGGGATCCAAGGGAGAAATGAAAACACGTAAACAAAGGATGTCCCACGGGCATGGGAAGAAACCTGCGAAACTCACTCTGTCCCCATCACACCCTGACTTCTGATTGCTGCTGAGACCTCAACTATCTTTCCCGCTTGGTCAGAAGCCCTAACTGGGTAGGGATGCCCTACCGTGAACTCTGGAAATGTGCCCATGTAACATGCAAATCCAACAAAAAGCATCCAGCCAAGCACAATCATGATCAAAAGCAATGGCTAAGATACAGTAGCACAGTGAGAGACTGACTATGCACCGTGCTCATGAGACCCTCAGTTGGTAGAAGTCTCGCATATCAGTTCTAGTCCTTGGCTCCAAAGGATACACAGACCCCTAGTGGAGAAGCTGGAGCCTAGGCGGGCATTGTGACATCACTGTCGTGTGGCCCAGCCTCTCAACACACCAGTGACTGCCCCCAGACCAGCAGCTGAGCACCAAGTGAGCTCTCTATCGTTATTGCACAGCAGAACTTTAGTAATACTACTATTTTTTTTTTTTTACAGAATTTGCTTATTTATTTATTTGAGAAGTAGAGTTATGGAGAGAAGGAAAGACAGAGAGAGAGGTCTTCCATCTGCTGGTTCACTCCCCAGTGGCCACAATGGTGGCGCTGCGCCGATCTGAAGCCAGGAGCCTCTTTCGGGTCTCCCACATGAGTGCAGGGGCCCAAGCACTTGGGCCATCTTCCACTGCTTTCCCAGGCCATAGCAGAGAGCTGGGTGGAAGAGGAGCCTCCGGGACAGGGATCAGCACCCCTGTGGGGTACCAGCGCTGCAGGCGGAGCTTTAACCTACTGAGCCACAGCACTGTCCCCTTCAGTGCTGTTATTAATCCCCTCTTGCTGATGAGAAAACTGAGGCTTAATGTAGCCTTCACAAGGGCACACTGCTGGTGCTCCGGATCAGGGCCAAGACGTGGGGCCTGGCTGCCTCTTAGGAAGCTGGGCTCCCAGAGCACAGACTGGGATCTGGAAAGCTGCGTCACTAGGCCTGTGCCAGTTGTGAATGAAAAAACTGACACCTTCCCATTCCTGAAGCACGTCCCCTCCTGCCTTGAGGCCTTCTCACACAATTTTATACTCCCGTTCTTCAACACCCTTGGTCGTTCCTTCCCATTGGTTCTCTTTTCTTCGACATTAAGAAGCCACAGGCACTCAGCTGTTTTCCTCAAATAAACCTCCAACTGATGCTGTGGCTCCTCCCCTAACTTCCTGTTTCTTTTCCTTTTCTGACCAAACTTCCTAAACCAGTGGTCCACATGCCAAGCCTTGCTTCTCAATCCATACTCTTCTCCCACCCATTCCATTCTAGCCAGTCCCCAGTACTAGCCCCATCCCATCATGTTGATGTTTTCTCAGAGTTTGATGCTTTCTCAGAGGTCACCAAAGATCTTCTTTCGTCAAGACTAAGGACCTCACCTTGTTCCCTTTCACTTCCCTGCGCTGTCTTGGTGGACCCCTCCCTTACCCAGAGCTCTTCCAACATACATACTTTCATGTCTAGTATTTTATACCCCCTCTATTGTCATTTTTTTAAATTATGAAAGAGCTCTCATGAAACCATCCAAATATATGTGTGTGTCACCCTTAATACTTTCCCCTCTTCCTCCTCTTGTAACCAGACTGAATCCATCTTTTCCCTTTTCATAGTCTGATGAACAAAAACTAACTACTAAGCTTGTGACTGATTACCGTGTCTGTTCAATTCAGTGTTGCTTGTGAACTCCAGAAACTGCCAGCTAAACTTGCAAAGTAATCTGGCCCTCTCTGGTCAGCATGATCAGGGGTGAGAATTTATTTGAACAGAATGTCTAGGGGTATGAATAAATAAGGACACAATAAGCATAGACCGTAGGCTGAGTAGGCTTCATCCTGGGTAAAGAGATACTGAGATCTCTTTAACACAATACTTCACCTTTCAGACCCCAGCTAAGTCACACTTTGTAGCTGCTTAGTTTTACCAAAGACCCTGCTATTCCGTCCTCATGATAAAGCCAAGCCATCCGGCCCGTGCCGCAGCTCACTAGGCTAATCCTCCGCCTAGCGGCGCCAGCATACCAGGTTCTAGTCCCGGTTGGGGCGCCGGATTCTGTCCTGGTTGCCCCTCTTCCAGGCCAGCTCTCTGCTCTTCCAGAGCAGCTCTCTGCTGTGGCCAGGGAGTGCAGTGGAGGATGGCCCAGGTGCTTGGGCCCTGCACCCGCATGGGAGACCAGGAGAAGCACCTGGCTCCTGGCTCCTGCCATCGGATCAGCGTGGTGCGCTGGCCGCAGCGGCCATTGGAGGGTGAACCAACGGCAAAGGAAGACCTTTCTCTCTGTCTCTCTCTCTCACTGTCCACTCTGCCTGTCAAAAAGATAAAAATAAAAATAAAAAAATAAAAAGCCAAGCCATCCAACAAGGATAAATAACAAGGGCACAACAAGCGTAGACACTGGGTTGAGCGGGCTTCATCCTGGGTAACGAGATACTGAAATCTCCTTGATGGGCATATTTTGCTTCTTTCAGATTCCAGCTAAATCATATTTTGCAGCTGCTTACTTGTGCAGAACATCCTGCTGTGCCTCCTCATGATAAAGTCAAGCCATCAAACAAGTTTCTCAAGGAAACGTGATGTCTGAGACTGATAAAATACCCTGTAAGCAGATCCACAGTTGGCTCCAGGACTTAGCTGCTCCTGTCCCCCCAGCAGCCCAAACCCCTTCTGCACACCTAAGAAACTCCAGATCGCCCTCACAGAGGAGGGTGATCCTAGTCTACCTTCTCATCCACCAGTGGGATTATTGAACGTTCTTTTTCCTTTATCGTCAGTAACATCCTCAACTCCCATCCCATCCTGTAACCAATATTACTACCAGTACAGCATGCAACTCTGTGCCAAAGACTTCTCCATAAATTTACAAGTGTCGGTCTCCACATAGATTTACATAGGGATATAGGTTTTCCCCAGTGTCGTTTAATTAGAGGTGTTCATAATATACATGCCACTGTCAAATTTTGCTTTTCTCCTGTAACAGTACATCACAGACATCCCTTTGGGTCAACTGATAAAAATATCCTACGTGTTTCATTTTTGTTTTAATAATAACCTTTACTGAGGTATAATTTATATATGATAAATTCATTCATTTTTACTGTACACTGAATGAGTCTCAAAAAAATGTGTCAATCTCATAACTATCATCACACTTAGGATAGAAAATAATCTGATCATCTTAAAAAGTTCCTTCATGCTCTTTTGCCATTAATCTCCTCCCTCAACTCCTTGGCTCCTGGAAAGAAATAGGTACATTTGTATTGTCTAAAACATCATCTAAGCAGTATCATAAACTTTCTTTCACTTAGCGTAAAGCTTTTGAGATTTGCCGAATCTGTTGTATAATAGCATGTTCTGTTTTACCAAATAGTTTTCCGTTATGTGAACAGATCTGTTTGTCAATCTACCTGTCAAAGAACATTTGTGTTGTATCCAGTTTGGGGCTTTTATGAATAGAGATGCTGTAAGTCTTTGTGTGGTGGTCTTCAAAGTTTTTTTTGTTTTTTTTTTTTTTTTTTTTTTTTTTTTGACAGGCAGAGTGGACAGTGAGAGAGAGAGACAGAGAGAAAGGTCTTCCTTTTGCCGTTGGTTCACCCTCCAATGGCCGCCGCGGCCGGCGCGCTGCGGCCGGCGCACCGCGCTGATCCGATGGCAGGAGCCAGGAGCCAGGTGCTTTTCCTGGTCTCCCATGGGGTGCAGGGCCCAAGCACCTGGGCCATCCTCCACTGCACTCCCTGGCCACAGCAGAGGGCTGGCCTGGAAGAGGGGCAACCGGGACAGAATCCGGCGCCCCAACCGGGACTAGAACCCGGTGTGCCGGCGCCGCTAGGCGGAGGATTAGCCTAGTGAGCCGCGGCGCCGGCGGTCTTCAAAGTTTTGATTTGTCTAGGGTAAATACTCAAGAGGGTGATGATGTGATCATATGGTAAGTACCTTTTTAAGAGCTTTTCCCAACAGTTAAGATGCCCATATCCCACATCGCAGTACCTGAATTTGACTCTGCTCCAGTTCCTGATTCCTAATTATGCTAATATAGACCCTAGGAGGCAGCAATAATGGCTCAAGTAGTTGGGTCCCAGACACCCATGCAAAAAACCTTGATTGAATTCATGGCTCATGGCTTTAGCCTAGCCCAGCCTAGCCCCAAATGCATGCATTTTGGGGAGTGAGCCAGCAGATAGGAGACATCTCTATCTCTGTAACTATCAAATTAATTAATTAAAAGAAAACCTTTCTCTATCATTTGCTCCCACCAATTTGATATTGATATGTCTTTGGTAATTTTCTACATTTCTTCTTGGGTCTGGGAGTTTATGACTTTTCCATCATATTAGAAAATATTTAGGTATTCTTTCTTCTAATATGTTTCCTGTCCTCCTCGCTCCGTCTGTGACTTCTACTGCATATTAGACTAGCTGAAATTGTGCCGTAGCTTCCTGAGGTCATTTTCCCAGACAGTTTGTGTTTTCTTTTGTATACTTCTCATTGCTATGCTTCGAATTCACTCATCTTCACCTACATGGTCTAATCTTCTGTTAATATGTTTCTCATTTGATGTTGTAAGTGCTCTGTAAGTTCAACCTAAAAACAATTTTAAACATTTGAAAGGCAAAGAGATGGGGGAGGGGGACAGAGAAATCTCCCATCTGCCAGTTCTCTCCCTAAATGCTTGCAATTGCTGGGGTTTGTCCAAGCCAAAGTCAGGAGCTGGGAACTCAGTTCAAGTCTCCCACATGAGTGGCAGGGACCCCACTACTTGAGCCACCACCTATCACGTATCAGGGAATTAGCAGGAAACTAGAATCCGAAGTGGAGCTGGGATTCAAACCCAGGCATTCCATATGGGGTGTGGGCATCCCAAGTGCCACCTTAAGTGCTGGGCCAAATGCTCACCCCTAAACTTACACTTGTTGTATCTTTCACACTTCCCTACATTGTCTTCATGTTTTCCTTTATATCCTCAAGCATAGTTTCAAAATTTATAATAAACCTATTAAAAACACTGTTATGGTTTGGCTACTAGTTTGAATGTTAAATGTCCCCAAAAGTGAGGCAGGCATTTGGCCTTATGACACCCACACCCTGTATAAAGGTGCCTGGGTTTGACTCTCAACTCCACGCCTGATTCCAGCTTCCTTGCTAACGCACACTTGGGAAGAAGCAGCTGATGGCTCAAGTAGTTGGATTCCTGCTACTCACATGGGAGACCTGGATTAAGCTTCCCACTCCAGACTTTGGCCTGGCCCAGCCCTGGCTGCTGTGGGTGTTTGGAGAGTGAAGCGGTGGAGGGGAGAACTCTGCTTGTC